AGTGAGGAGATGGTTGGAGGAGATGGAGGAGGAGATGGTGGAGGATGGAGGAGAGGAATGGAGGAGAGAGATGGAGGGAGATGGTGGAGGAGCATGGAGGAGGAGATGGAAGGAGGAGATGGAGGAGGAGATTGGAGGAGGAGATGGTGGAGGAGATGGAGGAGGAGATGAAGGAGGAGATGGAGGAAGGAGATGGTGGAGGGTGGGAGGGAGATGGAGGAGAGAGATGGTGGAGGAGATGGAGGAGAGATGAGAGGAGTGGAGGAGGGATTGGAGAGATGGAGGAGATGAGGAGGAGATGGTAGGAGAGTGGAGATGGAGGAAGATGGGAGAGTGGAGAGGAGAGGGAGATGGTGGTGTAGGAGATGGAGGAGATGGTGGAGGAGGATGGAGGGATGGAGAGATGGTGGAGGGAGGAGTGAGAGGGAGGAGAGAGGAGGAATGGTGGAGGAGATGGAGGAGGAGAGTGGTGGAAGGAGGAGGAGAGGTGGAGGAGATGGAGGAGTGAGATGAAGGAGGTGAGGGAGATGGTTGGAGAAGATGGAGGGAGGAGATGGTGGAGGAGATGGAGGAGGAGATGGTGTAGGAGATGGAGGAGGAGATGATGTAGGAGATGGAGGAGGAGATGGAGGAGGACATGGTGGAGGAGATGAGGAGGAGATGGAGGAGGAGATGGAGGAGGAGATGGTGGAGGAGATGGGGAGAGGAGAGGGAGGAGGAGATGGTGGAGGAGATGGAGGAGAAGATGGAGGAGGAGATTGAGGAGGAGGAGGAGAAAGAAGAAATGGAGGAAGAGAAGGGGGAAGAAATGGAAGTGGGGAGGAAGAGGAGGAGGAGGAAGAGGCGATTATTATTATCATTAATATTATTATTATTATTTGTTGTTGTTGTTGTTATTGTTATTATTGCATTATAATTATTATTACTATCATTATCATCATAAGTCAGTTTCGAGTTAGATTTCGATGTGCTGCAGTGAGAGGTGAAAAGCAAAGAAAAATTCTCCAAGGAAGGGTAAGAGATGAATAGGGTGATAAAGAAGAAGGGTGAGGAAGAAAGAGTCTCTCTCTCTCTCTCTCTCTCTCTCTCTCTCTCTTCTCTCTCTCTTTCTCTCTCTCTCTCTCTTCTCTCCTTCTCTCTTCTCTTTCTCATCGATCCTATCCTCCAGGTGACGTCTTTCGTTAGCTAAGTCATGTATTTTACCGGTCATTAACGACCCAGTTTGTTTACGTCCAGCCTTTACGAGCCTCGAGTTGAAGGATCAAACCAAACTGAGACTTAGAGGCTGGAGGTGGAGTGAGGCTGGAGGTGGAGGGAGGCTGGAGGTGGAGTGAGGCTGGAGGTGGAGTGAGGCTGGAGGTGGAGTGAGGCTGGAGGTGGAGTGAGGCTGGAGGTGGAGTGAGGCTGGAGGTGGAGTGAGGCTGGAGGTGGAGTGAGGCTGGAGGTGGAGTGAGGCTGGAGGTGGAGTGAGGCTGGAGGTGGAGTGAGGCTGGAGGTGGAGTGAGGCTGGAGGTGGAGTGAGGCTGGAGGTGGAGTGAGGCTGGAGGTGGAGTGAGGCTGGAGGTGGAGTGAGGCTGGAGGTGGAGTGAGGCTGGAGGTGGAGTGAGGCTGGAGGTGGAGTGAGGCTGGAGGTGGAGAGGAGGCTGGAGGTGGAGTGAGGCTGGAGGTGGAGTGGCTGGGAGGTGGAGTGGAGTGGAGGTGAGTAGTGAGGCTGGAGGTGGGAGTGAGGCTGGAGGTGGAGTGAGGCTGGTGGAGTGTGGGGAGTGGAGTGGCTGGAGGTGGAGTGAGCGGAGTGAGTGAGGCTGGAGTGAGTGGCTGGAGGTGGAGTGAGGCTGGAGGTGGAGTGAGGCGGAGGGTGGGCTGGAGGTGGAGTGAGGCTGGAGGTGGAGTGAGGCTGGAGGTGGAGTGAGGCTGGAGGTGGAGTGAGGCTGGAGTGGAGTGAGGCTGGAGGTGGAGTGAGGCTGGAGGTGGAGTGAGGCTGGAGGTGGAGTGAGGCTGGAGGGGGTGAGGCGGGTGAGTGGCTGGAGGTGGAGTGAGGCTGGAGGTGGAGTGAGGCTGGAGGTGGAGTGAGGCTGGAGGTGGAGTGAGGCTGGAGGTGGAGTGAGGCTGGAGGTGGAGTGAGGCTGGAGGTGAGTGAGGCTGGAGGTGGAGTGAGGCTGGAGGTGGAGTGAGGCTGGAGGTGGAGTGGCTGGAGGTGGAGTGAGGCTGGAGGTGGGAGAGGCTGGAGGTGAGTGAGGCTGGAGGTGGAGTGAGGCTGGAGGTGGAGTGAGGCTGGAGGTGGAGTGAGGCTGGAGGTGGAGTAGGCTGGAGGTGGAGTGAGCTGGAGGTGGAGTGACGCTGGAGGTGGAGTGACGCTGGAGGTGGAGTGAGCTGGCAGGTGGAGTGTGGATGGAGTGACGCTGGAGGTGGAGTGACGCTGGAGGTGGAGATGAGGCTGGAGGTGGAGTGACGCTGGAGGTGAGAGGTGAGCTGGAGGTGGAGTGACGCTGGAGGTGGAGTGAGCTGGAGGTGGAGTGAGGCTGGAGGTGGAGTGAGGCTGGAGGTGGAGGATGGAGTGAGTGGACGTGGATTGAGCAAGATTAGATGGATGGAGACAGCTGGAGGTGCAACTGCTGTCACTGTGACAGTGATGTCGACGCTGACAGTGATGTAGTGGCTGGACAGTGATGTCACTGGCTGACAGGTGATGTCATGCTGACAGGTGAGTCACGCTGACAGTGATGTCATTGGCTGTCAGTGACTGTCACACTGGTCATGGTGACTGTACGTGACAGGTTTCACACCTGGGTCATTGTACCTAACACACTGGATCATGATACTCTACACAGGATCACTGTACTCTGTCACCTGGACATTGTACTCTACACACACTGATCATTATACTCTATACACTTGGATCATTGTACTCTATACACCTGGATCATTGTACTCTACACAGGATCACTGTACTCTGCACACCTGGATCATTGTACTCCACACACCTGGATCATTATACTCTATACACTTGGATCATTGTACTCTACACATCTGGGTCATTGTACTCTACACACCTGGATCATTGTACTCTACATACCTGGATCATTATACTCTACACACCTAGATCATTGTACTCTATACACCTGGATCATTGTATTACACACACCTGGATCATTGTACTCCACACACCTGAATCATTATACTCTATACACCTGGATCATTGTACTCTACAACCTGATCGTTGACTCCACACACCTGGATCATTATACTCTATACACCTGGATCATTGTACTCTACACACCTGGATCATTGTACTCCACACACCTGGATCATTATACTCTATACACCTGGATCATTGTACTCTACACACCTGATCATTATACTCACACACCTGGATCATTATACTCTACACACCTGGATCATTATACTCTACACACCTGGATCATTGTACTCCACACACCTGAATCATTATACTCTATACACCTGGATCATTGTACTCTACACACCTGGATCGTTGTACTCCACACACCTGGATCATTATACTCTATACACCTGGATCATTGTACTCTACACACCTGGATCATTGTACTCCACACACCTGGATCATTATACTCTATACACCTGGATCATTGTACTCTACACACCTGGATCATTATACTCTACACACCTGGATCATTATACTCTACACACCTGGATCATTATACTCTACACACCTGGATCATTGTACTCCACACACCTGAATCATTATACTCTATACACCTGGATCATTGTACTCTACACACCTGGATCGTTGTACTCCACACACCTGGATCATTATACTCTATACACCTGGATCATTGTACTCTACACACCTGGATCATGTACTCCACACACCTGGATCATTATACTCTATACACACCTGGATCATTGTACTTACACACCTGGATCATTATACTCTACACACCTGGATCATTATACTCTACACAACCTGGATCATTTACTCTACACACCTGGATCATTATACTTCCACACACCTGAATCATTGTACTCTAACCACCTGGATCATTGTACTCTACACACCTGGATCATTGTACTCTACACACCTGGATCATTGTACTCTACACACCTGGATCATTGTACTCTACACACCTGGATCATTGTACTCCCCACATCTGGATCATTGTATTACACACACCTGGATCATTGTACTCCACACTCCTGGATCATTGTACTCTACACACCTGGATCATTGTATTACACACACCTGGATCATTGTATTACACACACCTGGATCATTGTATTACACACACCTGGATCATTGTATTACACACACCTGGATCATTGTACTCTACACTCCTGGATCATTGTATTCACACACCTGGATCATTGTATTACACACACCTGGTCATGTATTTACACAACTGGATCATTGTATTAAAACACACCTGGTTTCATTGTTCTCTACACACCTGGATCATTGTACTCCACACTCCTGGATCATTGTATTACACACACCTGGATCATTGTACTCTACACACCTGGATCATTGTACTCCACACACCTGGATCATTGATGACTCCACAAAGGATGAGGGACTCACAAGGGATTGATGATTCACCAAAGAGAATTGCTGATACAAGGATTGATGACTCACAAAGAAAGATTGAGGGAATCCCTCCTTGGATTGATGACCCAAAAAGGAGTGAGAATAGGGGTTAAGTGAAAAAAGGAGAGAGAGAATGAGAGAGAGAGGAGGAGAGAAGAGAGAGAGGGGAAGAGAGAGAGAGAGAGAGAGAGAGAGAGAGAGAGAGAGAGATGGGAGGGGAGATCTGACAACAATCTGAGGTATTCTCATTAGAGTCAGGAAGAGCTCAGAGAAACGCAGAACTTAAAGGCGCTCACAGATTCCCCAACACAAAGTTCTATCTCCTAAAGTTCAAACCTTCAAAGTTCTACCTCTTAAAGTTCAAACCTTCAAAGTTCTATCTCTTAAAGATCAAACTCTCAAAGTTCTATATCTCAAAGTCCTATTTATAAACATGCAGACTCTCAAAGTTTTACCATTTAAAGTTCAAATTATCAAAGTTCAACATTCAAAGTTCAACATTCAAAGTTCAACACTCAAAGTTCAACACTCAAAGTTCAACAAAGTTCAACATTCAAAGTTCAACATTCACAGTTCAACATTCAAAGTTCAACATTCAAAGTTCAACATTCAAAGATCAGCATTCAAAGTTCAACACTCAAAGTTCAACACTCAAAGTTCAACACTCAAAGTTCAACACTCAAAGTTCAACACTCAAAGTTCAACATTCAAAGTTCAACATTCAAAGTTCAACATTCACAGTTCAACATTCAAAGTTCAACATTCAAAGATCAGCATTCAAAGTTCAAAATGTCGAAGTTCTACCTCTGAAATTTCAACAACACGAGTTTCAGAACAAATTTCTCTTAACAAAACGTTTCGCCCTAAGCAGAGCGTGACCGTGACTTTAAAAAAAAAACTTTAAGAGTGCGAAACGTCGTCCTGATACGCCATTACGCGCCTAAACCGCATCGTTCAAAATATCTAAGCTATTTTTTTAGGCCCGATTTAGGGTTCTGATAACCTGACGACCCCCCCCCCCAAATATGTATATATATATATATATATATATATATATATATATATATATATATATATATATATATATATATAATGCAGATGGAGGAAGAAAAGCCTAAGGCGCTGGTGGTTGCTGGGGGCGGCGCTGGACTTGCTTGGATTTACACGGAGATCACGAACAAGCAGGACGGACGTGGTGTCAATGAGTCCTTGCCGGAGAGCCACGGACACGCCTTCCACAACAGCACCAGCAACGGAGCAGGTACGTGTTTGGGCTGGGCTCTGTTTGTGTCCTTGGCACGTGAATTTTTTGCATGTATGTGTTTTAGTTTGTGTACGTGGTTCTTTCTCTCTCTCTCTCTCTCTCTCTCTCTCTTCTCCCTCTCCTCTCTCTCTCTCTCTCTCTCTCTCTCTCTCTCTCTCTCTCTCTCTCCTCTCTCTCTCTCTCTCTCTCTCCTTCTCTTCTCTCTCTATCTTCTCTCATTCTCTTTTATTTCTCACTCTATCTCTATAAGCTCCGTTACTGCTTCTTTCCATCCTTCTCTCCATTTTTTCGCTTCCACTCTCTTTCGATCCCTTTACTCTCTCTCTCTCTCTCTCTCTCTGGAGAATAAAGCGAGCCTTAAACCATCAGTATTATGTGTGACGTGTCAAAGACTAGAATGACTGAACGATGACAAATTTAAGAATGATGAAAATAGAGACAACAAAACCTGTGACTACATAAAAATTATATATATATATATATATATATATATATAATATATATATATAATATATATATATATATATATATATATATATATATATATATATATATACATCTATATACACCCATAGCATGACACTCATCACCTAAACACTCGCCCCTAGTTAATCTCCCATCTTCCTCGTCACCATAAAACACGTCACCCATCACTCAGAGATAATTACCGAGGGGGGAATATTAAAAGTCTTAAGAGTTACGAAGACCCATTTTTAAACTTTTCGTCTTATTCCTAATTACCTTAAAAGGGTTACGCCCCGGGGGAAGATTTTTTTTTCCCCCCAAATAATGTAATCGTTTAAATCACACTGTGGAAAAAGAAAGAGAGAGAGAGAGAAAAGGGGGGAAGAGAGAAGAGAGAGAGAGAGAGAGATCTGTTACCCTGGGTTCATACTCCCAGTGGTCCATTTGTCTCCCATCCTTATCCTTTTTGTCTTGTTCCATAATATGGGGTGAAGACGGGGGGTCATAGGTCCCTTCATTTGGGGCCCTTGACCCCCCACCCTCCACCACACCTGTGTAACTTAAGAAAAAGAAATTTTAGAGCATGCAAGGTTGTGAATCTGAACTTGGTAGGACAGACTTTTTATTTTGTTTCTTTGAATCACTGTTTGCCCCCATACAAAAGCCACTGGTATTAAAACTAAAGATGTATGTCTCTCAGTTTTATATTCACACTCGTAGTTTAAAATTAACCACTTTTTTAAGGGGTATTAAATTTATTTTTGGGGACGGGTGGTGTAAGGTGACCTGCAGCCTAAATTTAACCCTCGTTGGTGGGTTTTTAAATTTTCCCAATTCCTTTAAACCCAACTTTTGTGTTTTGAAGTACTGGAAATTCTCACTTTTCTTTTCCCAATTTTAATAGATATTTGTTTACTAATGGGTCATTTTTTCCACCTTTACAGGTCCTGGGGGAGGCGGGGAAGGAAAGGGAAGGAAGAAGGAAAAAGAGGGTCAGCCCCCGGGTTAATGCGGGTTTGGGGGAAAAGCCGTGGGGGGAGAGAATACTAATGCATGGTACTTATGGAGGTTTTGGGTGGGGGCCCGGTGGGGGCTCCCCAGGCTGGGGGTTTGGCGGGGGGGGTTTCACAGGTGAGTGGGGGCCCCTGGAACACTAGGGGAATCTTGGAGCCAAAAGGGGGCAAAATTTGGGGTGGCTGCGTGTGTTTTTGTGATACCCTTTGGGTTTCTATTTCTCCTCGTCCTCCTCCTCCCCCTCCTCCCGTCCTTCTCCCCCCTCGCCCTTTCCCTGCTCCGTTTTTCAAAACACCACTTTTTCCTTCCAATCCCTAAACCTCCACCCAACCCAAAAACCCTTCTTAATGCCTTCGATCCAGATAGTCTAAAAATTTTTGTTTGAAAAAATCCGGAAGTCTGGGAGAAATTGTTTTCCCAAATGCATATAAAAAATGTATATTTTAAATGTAAACAGCAAAAAGCTTTCCATAGTTTTTAAAAAATGCGGGAAATTTTAATTTATAATATATATATAAATATAAAATATTTTATATTAATATATATAAATAAAATATATATATTTATATATATATATTTTATTTAAATTTTTAAATATTTTATATAAATAATACATATATATACTGGTGGGCCCTTGGAGTGGACAAAAAATGGTGGGTTTTATGATAAAATTATAGACAAAAACCCAAAGGGGAAAGGCCATGAAGGGGTTAAAATAAAAAAAGATGGGGCAAAAATAAAATTAGCAAAAAACGGGTGAAAGGGGGAAAGGGCCCTAGGGGAAAAAAAGGGGGAAGAAGAGAGAAAAGGAGAAGAGAGAGAGAGAGGGGAGGGGAGAAGGGGAGAGAGAGAGAGAGAGGGGACAAAAGGGGGAAATAGAAGACGGTAAACGAAGGATATTTTAAAGGCAAAGGAAAAAACTCGTTAAAATTGCTGTAATACACTGAAAAACAAAAAGGAGGGGGGGGACAAAAACCTGAAAAAAAGAAAGAAGAATAAAGAGGAGAGAACAAGGAAGGAAAAATGAGGCAAAAAAGATGAAGGTCCTGATCCACCAGTTATTAGTGCCCCTTGCCGCATCCAGCCTCTAAGGGAACCCTGGTCTTTGTAAGCTTTCAGTGTTCTTACTATATCCCCCTCTCTTAGACGGTGATTTTAGTAAGCTATTGGTGTCTCCAATCTTAGAATGTGATTAGTAAGCTAAACAGTGCTCTCCGCCTCTTTGAATGTGATCAGTAAGGGTTTCAAGGGGTTCCTACCCCTTAAAGGTATCTAGTAAGCAAAGGCTCTCCAGCCCTTTAAATTGATCTAGTAAGTAAACAGTGGGTCTCCCAGCTTCTTAGAATGTAATTTTAGTAAGTATAAAGGGTTTCCCACTTCTAGAAGGGGATCTAGTAAAACTATCAGTGCTCTCCGCCCTTTTTAAAGTGATCTAATTTAAACCCATCGTGCTCTCCAAACCTCTAAGAATGTGGGGTCTGTAAGCTATCAGTGCTCTCCCACCTCGTAGAAAGGGATCTAGTAAGCTATTTGGTTTCTCTCCAGTCTTAGAAAAGTGAAATTTTAACTATCATGCTCTCCTTCCTCTTAAAGGTGAAACTAGTAAGCTATCAGTGCTCTCCAGCCCTTTTGAAAGTGATTAGTAAGCTATCAGTGCTCTCCAACTTCTTTGAAAGTATTAGTAAGCTATCAGTGCTCTCCTACCTCTTAGAAGGTGATCTAGTAAGCTATCGTGCTCCCAGCCTTTTAGAAAAGTGATCTAAAAAAGCATAGTGCTCTCCGCCTCTTAGAAAGTGATCTAGTAAGCTATCAGTGCTTCCTACCTGTAGAAGGTGATTAGTAAACTATTGGTGCTCTCCAGCCTTTTAGAAAATTTTTTTCTAGTAAGCTATCAGGCTCTCCTACCCCTTAGAAAGTGATCTAGCAAACTATCAGTGCTCCGGGCCCCTTAGAATGTGATTTAGTTTAAACATCAGTGCTCTCCAGCCTCTTGAATTTTGATCATTAAGCTATCAGTGTATCCAGCCCCTTAAAAGTGATCTAGTAAAAACTATCGTGCTGTCCAGCCTCTTTAAAAGTGATCTAGTAAGCTATCAATTTCTCTCCTACCCCTTAGAAGGTGACCTAGTAAGGCCTTTTCGTGCTTTTCCAGCCTTTTTTTGAAAGTGATCTTTGTAAGCATCAGTGCTCCCAGCCCCTTGAATGTGATTTGTAAGTTTTTCAGCGCTCTGTACCTCGTGAAGGGGGATTAGAAGCTACAGTAGTGTCCTGGTGTTTTCCTGCAAAGGGGGGAAGCCTTTCACGGGGCCAGAGCGTCCACGGTGAAGGAGGCTCAGCTACACTGATGGTAACTTTCCCGCTGCACTGTCGGTGTTCACACTGGGCCCCGGGGGTTGTCTTTATTATACCCGGGTATTGTGGGGAAATACCCTTTTTTATAGTATCAGGGAGTGAAGTATTGTTATTGCTAAATTTTTATTATTATTAAATTTTTATTATTATTTTATTATTTTTATTAAATTTTTATTTTTTTTATTATTATTTAAATTTTTATTTTATTATTTATTATTATTATTATTATTATTATTATTATTTTTATTATTTTTTATTATTTATTATTATTATTATATTATTATTATTATTATTATTATTATTATTTTATTATTATTATTATTTATTATTTTTTTATTTTTAAATTTTATTATTATTATTTTATTATTATTATTTTATTATTATTTTATTATTATTATTATTATTATTATTATTATTATTATTATTGCTGTATTCGTAAAGAAGCGCTAAATCAACAGGAGTTTTTCAGCACCTGGGGAATGAGGGTTAATTATCTGAGGAAAAGGAGACCAGATCCAGTTCCTCAGATGAAGAGCCCTTCGCCAGCACCATGGCTGCTGCTTGTGTTGTGTGTGTGTGTGTGTGTGTACTCACCTATTTGTACTCACCTATTTGTGGTTACAGGGGTCGAGTCCTAGCTCCTGGCCCCGCCTCTTCACCGGTTGCTACTAGGCCCTCTCTCTCCCCGCTCCATGAGCTTTATCAAACCTCGTCTTAAAACTGGGTATGGTTCCTGCCTCCACTACGTCCTTTTCTAGGCTATTCCACTGCCTTACAACTCTATGACTGAAGAAATACTTCCTACTATCTCTCTGACTCATTTGTGTCTTCAACTTCCAATTGTGGCCTCTTGTTTCTGTGTCCCCCCCTGGAAACATCCTGTCCTTGTCCCCCTTATCTATTCCACGCAGAAATTTTATATGTCGTTTCATGTCTCCCTGACCCTCCTGCCCTCCAGTGTGGTCAGGCCGATTTCCCTTAATCTTTCCTCATAGGACATTCCCCTTAGCTCTGGAACTAACCTTGTCCCCAAACCTTTGTACTTTCTCTAGTTTCTTGACGTGCTTTATAAAAGTGCGGGTTTCCAAACAGGTGCTGCATACCCCAGTATGGGCCTGACATACACGGTGAAACAGTGTCTTGAATGATTCCTTACTAAGGTATCGGAATGCTGTTCTCAGGTTTGCC